CCAACACCACCTTTTGGTATTACACCGACGCCAACTTTTGGTATTACACCGACACCAACGTTTGGTATTACACCGACATCAACTTTTCGTATCACACCGACAATAACTTTTCGTATTACACCGACACCGCCTTTTGGTATTACACCAACACCACCTTTTGGTATTTCACCGACGCCACCTTTTGGTATTACACCGACACCACCTGTTAGTATTACATCAAAACCACTTTTTGGTATTACACCGACACCAACTTTTGGTATTACACCGACACCACCTTTTAGTATTACACCGACCCCACCTTTTGGTATTACACCGACACCAACTTTTGTTATTACACCGACGCCAACTTTTGGTATTACACTGACACCAACTTTTCGTATTACACCGACACCACCTTTTGGTCTTACACCGACACCACCTTTTGGTATTACACTGACACCAACTTTTCGTATTACACCGACACCGCCTTGTTGTATTACACCAACACCACCTTTTGGTATTTCACCGACGCCCCCTTTTGGTATTACACCGACACCACCTTTTAGTATTACACCGACACCCCCTTTTGGTATTACACCGACACCACCTGTTAGTATTACATCAAAACCACTTTTTGGTATTACACCGACACCAACTTTTGGTATTACACTGACACCAACTTTTAGTATAACACCGACACCACCTTTTGGTGTTACACCGACACCAAATTTTTGGTATTACACCGACACCAACGTTTAGTGTTACAATGACACCACCTTTTGGGATTACACCGACACCACCTTTTGGTATTACACTGACACCACCTGTTAGTATTTCATCAAAACCACCTTTTGGTATCACACCGGCACCAACTTTTCGTATTACACCGACAATAACTTTTCGTATTACACCGATAATAACTTTTCGTATTACACCGACACCACCTTTTGGTATAGATTTAAAAAATGCTGGCATGACGGCTATATTGGATTTTAAATCCGCTCCATAATGAAATAAGAATTGGACAAGATACTGTTCTGATTATTCACATTAACTTTCAATGTAATGGCCGCCAAGACGGAATATTGGAATTTAGATCGGACCAAAGAATTATAGTTTAAATTCCAAATCCATTTTCAAAATGGCTTCAATCGCGGCCATTTTGCGTTTCAAATCGGCCCCAAACTATGTAAAACCATGAGCTTATCATTCCAACTAAATTTCCTTGAAATTGCTCGAGTAGAATTCCGGAGTTGCAAAATCGGCCAATTCGATTTCGAATTTTATGTTTTATAAATATATACACATTGTATATCATAAAGTAGTTTTTGGTAACTATGATATTCAAGTGCTTCGACGCTAGACCTACATAGTTCGCATTTAAAATAAACCTTACAAGCATACCAATTTTCAGGCCAATTCAAATTATATGCCTCCACTTAGCTGTCATAGCAAATAAGGATTTCGGAACGAGGGGGAGGGGAGCCTAGAATACTACATGCATGTACTCGAGAAGAAACCATAGTGACTGAAAAATGTAGGGATATACTTCTAGTGTCCATGCTATTCTTATTTGCGAGCAAAATTTTGAAAACTTTTAATTGATAGGACTGCTGAGACTGAAAAATACGAAAGAAATAGCGAACTTAGGAAAGAACCAAACTATTATAAAAAGCTTAGTTGCACTCTCCAAACTTGTGATGCTGTTTCTATTTGTAATGGTGCTGTTGGTGTTCGTAAGGTTGTGTAATGTTATTTTGTATAATGTACTGTTAATATCGCACTTTTGTTACTTTTTAAATGATGAGTCGAGTAATAAAGAACTTGAAAAGATGATTGACGGGTGTCCCATGGATACAAGTCTGAGCGCTGGAACCAAGCCAGATCACCTGATGTTTCATCAATGGTCATAGTTGGCATTGTTCTTGGTACATGATTACCAAACTACTTCCGTCCTTCTTTATTTAAGGATTAACTTGAATATAGTTTTCGTGTTATGGAGATATAACACAAAAAACCGGAGTGTACTCTAAATAAACCGCAAAGCGGTTTATGATGAGAGAACACTCTGGTTTTTTGTGTTATAGCTCCATAACATGAAAAAATATATTCAAGTTAATCCTTACATTTTAATCTACTTTACACAATCCCTGTTGAAATTCACTTTTATTGATGGACTCTTTTCTCTTAAAAATTATTGCGCTACTGTATCAGCCAATCAAAAGCGACGTTACAAACGGCGACGTCAGTTTTATTACGTTATGGGCTGATAACATGGTTTTTTTAGCCAATGAAAATGCTTGTTACAAGCAAGATTAAATTATTTCAATATATTGAAAACATGATATGGAATACGGGGAGAAGCCTCCAATATTACCCACGATAAATAATAACTACATACATGTACTTACTCCTATCGCAGCAGTGAATGAAAAATGCGGAGCATGATTCTCATGTCCAGAGTACACGATTCACAAACTACTCCACCTGTCTTTATTTTGGGGGAAATGGTTAGCCACAACAATGGCTCAGAGTGGGTACCTTAATTCTTTAAAACAACCCTGCGTTAATTTAGATAAGATTCAACTTAACTGTGTATCTAGCTGTTATACATACTCACAGCAGCGTGTTTGTAAACATACGTGTGTACATACAACACCAGTTTATTGGTATCCTAGTTCCCTGGAGTCGTCCCGCTGTGCAGAGATATGTTACTTTTATGTGTGCTAACACCGGGCGTCTTAGAACATTGCCTGTAGTTGGTTACATAGTTATCCAGTAACACAGTAACAACAACAGTAAAATTTCACGTATGTAACGAAACATGGTTTAATAGTCATTATATTGTATAATTAGGGATACCAATCGATACATATAGGGTACACAGCGTACCGTAAAGGTTCATATCGATTAGTCGCTACAGGAGACGGTTCACAGCGTACCTTAAAGGTTAATACCGATTAATCGCTACAGGAGACGATACACAGTTAAGGATTTAAGGTTAATACCGATTAGTCGCTACAGGAGACGGTACACAGTTAACGATTAAAGGTCAATACCGATTAATCGCTACAGGAGACGGTACTCATTTTACGATTAAAGGTTCATACCGACTAATCGCTACAGGAGACGGTACACATTTTACGATTAAAGGTTAATACCGATTAATCGCTACAGGAGACGGTACACAGTTAACGATTAAAGGTTCATACCGACTAATTCTACAGGAGACGGTTCACAGCGTACCGTAAAGGTGCATACCGATTAGTCGATACAGGAGACGGTACACAGTTAACTTTTAAAGGTTAATACAGACAAAGCCTACAGGAGACGGTACACAGTTAACGATTAAAGGTTAAAACCGACTAATCACTACAGGAGACGGTACACAGTTAACGATTAAAGGTTAGTACCGACAAAGCCTACAGGAGACGGTACACAGTTAACGATTAAAGGTTAAAACCGACTAATCACTACAGTAGACGGTACACAGTTAACGATTAAAGGTTAGTACCGACTATTCGCTACAGGAGACGGTTCATAGCATACCAAACATAGGTTAAACCCAACTGATCACTACAGGAGACGCACACAGTATATCAGAGGCGATTACATTTAATCGATCGATACATGATAGGCACACATTTACACATAATTCATTAATTAAGGTGAGGGTTACTGATCGATGTGACGGCGACGGTACATAGTTCAACTTGACTGATTGATATAACGGCGACGGTACAGTTCCACTTGACTGATCGATGTGAAGGTGACGGTACAGTTCCACATGACTGATCGATGTAGATGTGACGGTACAGTTACACTTGACTGATCGATGTGAAGATGACGGTAAAGTTCCACTTGACTGATCGATGTAGATGTGATGATACAGTTACACTTGACTGATCGATGTAGATGTGACGGTACAGTTACACTTGACTGATCGATGTAAAGGTGACGGTAAATTTCCACTTGACTGATCGATGTAGATGTGACGGTACAGTAACACTTGACTGATCGATGTGAAGGTGACGGTAAAGTTACACTTGACTGATCGATGTAGATGTGACGGTACAGTTCCACTTGACTGATCGATGTAGATGTGACGGTACAGTTACACTTGACTGATCGATATGAAGGTGACGGTACAGTTCCACTTGACTGATCGATGTGAAGGTGACGGTACAGTTCCACATGACTGATCGATGTAGATGTGACGGTACAGTTCCACATGACTGATCGATGTAGATGTGACGGTACAGTTCCACTTGACTGATCGATTTAGATGTGACGGTACAGTTCCACTTGACTGATCGATGTGAAGGTGACGGTACAGTTACACTTGACTGATCGATATGAAGGTGACGGTACAGTTTCAATTGACTGATCGATATATATGTGATGGTACAGTTACCCTTGACTGATCGATGTGAAGGTGACGGTACAGTTCCTCTTTACTGATCGATTTAGATGTGACGGTACAGTTACACTTGACTGATCGATATGAAGGTGACGGTACAGTTCCACGTGACTGGTCGATGTAGATGTGAAGGAACAGTTCCACTTGACTGATCGATGTAGATGTGAGGGTACAGTTCCACTTGACTGATCGATGTAGATGTGACGATCCAGTTACACTTGACTGATCGATATGAAGGTGACGGTACAGTTCCACTTGACTGATCGATGTAGATGTGACGGTGCAGTTACACTTGACTGATCGATTTAGATATGACGGTACAGTTACACTTGACTGATCGATGTGAAGGTGACGGTACAGTTCCACATGACTGATCGATTTAGATGTGACGGTACTGTTACACTTGACTGATCGATGTAGATGTGACGGTACAGTTCCACTTGACTGATCGATGTGACGGCGACGGTACACGGTTTCAATCGATTGATCAATGTAGATGTGACGGTACAGTTACACTTGACTGATCGATGTTAATGTGACGGTACAGTTCCACTTGGCTGATCGATGTGATTGTGACGGTACACGTCCTGTATTTACTACTTCATTGTAGTACAAGCATCAAATATATGAACACGAGAACAAAAATCGCAACCAAGTAAAATACAAAAAATACCATATCAAACGTGGCAGACACGTCCCTCCACGTAACATTCGTTTCATATTCCACACGATTTGATGGCAGTGTTTGGTTCTGGGAGGGAGAGACAGCATCATGGTTGAAGCCAGAGTTCTGGTGACCACGTCCCCGTTTACATCTTCGGCATAAAACTTGAAGTAAATAAGGCACAGTTTTCCTCTGGTCAGCGAAGAACCAGCGGAGACAGATTACAGTACATAAAGTGCTGAGTCCACTCATGGCCATCATCGCAGTCACGATATAACACAGAATAGGCACTGGCTCGGAGTTCTTGGGCATAACACTACTGATGATGGACAGAAAGACCGCAAAAGAAAGAAGAACAGTGAGGGCATACGACACGCGTTCTCCCTGTTCGGGCGGTAGCAGGAACACACACGCGTTGAGAACACCTAGGAACAGAATTGGTAGAATGGTACTGAGGAGTGAAAATTCTGGTCTCCTTTTTATTTCTAGACTAATCACAATAGACGAGAAAAACCCACCGAATAACTGCTCTTTGACGCTGGCATTACCGAGCGCCCACTCCCCAAACTTCTCAAAGTTGGACAGATCCATTACCGGGTACAGCTGTACCTCCGGCCGGGTGTAGGGTATGGCCAGTATGACTAGGTAACACTTGTGAACATCGAAAGGATACTTCTCCACATTGGGAAGACAGGTGGAAGTGATGGTACCGCCCTGCAACCAGATCACGGATCCATCCGAATTAACTCGGACCGGGAATGAGTCCTCAAAGAATAGAAGGAGCCGGTCCGTGGGATTGGACAGTGCTAGACGTGGTGTCCAAATCTGTGATTCGGGTAGGACTAGAGCGCGCGGATAGTACTTGGACCTGTTCCAGCCAAGGGCTTGGTCCCGCCACCGTAAGTCCACCGCAGAAGCCATGGACAGTTGGCCACCTACTTCGTCAAATTCGCTTATTCCACGGAGGAGAAATCTAACAGAAACACGAACTGTTTCGTTTTCGTTTTGAACAGGTCTTAGTATACTCGTGTAATTATCAAACAGTTTCGAATACAACTCATGACTGTTGCGTGCATACGCATTCGACGGTACAATAACAGAGGTTATTCCGAACAGCAGCAGTATTAACACAGTTGCCCCGACGGTAACGGATTCTCTACCCATGGTCGGTCTGTAACAACTGTTGTTTAACTTTCAACAATATGATTATTCTCCAAGATTAGATGATGTTTCAAACCCAGCAAGTGAATATTTGAACATTTGAAGAATATTACTTCTGCTTTGATCGGTAAACGTTCCAATGGCAGGGTGGCACTGCAAGGGCAGTGCTGGTACATATACAGGGCACCACGCGCTACAAATAATGTATCATTTGCATCTTTATAAGAATCAGGATACCAGTCCGGGGGGAGTCTGCCGCCTACCATACACGTGTGTGTTAAGTCACGTAGCTAAATGAGATAGCAGCCCATTTCATCACCACACAGATACATATCTGTCTAACTTTACATTGGGAACATTATCGTACAGAAAGTGTATGACGCTACCTCTCTGTGGGCTCCATCAAAGCACGGCTGCAGACATGCTCGATTAGATAATTGAATATTCTACACAGTATCATAACTAAACACTATCTTTAGTACCAAGAATCTGAGGCTAGCAGTATCATAACTAAACACTATCTAAATACCATAAATCTGAAGAGCAAGTACGAGGACTTTTATGTTAAAAACAGAGTTTCTATCTAGCATACGGAAGATAACTATAAAAAAAACACGTCATCAGAAAAGATTTTCGAGCATTATGACGGAAAACAAAGATTTGAACAGGAAATCTGAATTTAAAGTTGTCGTTTACAAAATGATATATGGGCTGTGATAGGACCATTTCCATATCCTACCCCGGATCAACCGAAACCTCTTTATCAGCCCAGCCCGAGGGGTCGGGACCCGATGGGCGATATGGATGCAATATTATGTAAGCTTACAAGTATAGAGTTCTGTTTATCATTTGACCCTTAAGTAAAATATTTAAGATTTTAGTCCAGCTTGTATATTTTTAAGAAACTATGTATACCATCACAATTGGTGAAGACGAGAGTAAGCCCAGTTTACATATCAAATGTCGCAATGTTGTTTTGTGGTAAATTTCGTATACCCACAGGTACCCGACAGTCAATAACATGTGATTGGACCCATGTGTAGGGACCACTATAACACGCTTTAGGGGGCTTGACCAACGATAAAAATAAACAAAGATCAATTTTTAGACTTCGAGAGCCTTTCGTCATTTTTCACGGAGCCATTTTACCTTCTAAAATGTCTAATACTAAACGTTACATATACATTATAATTAAAAACAGACATCCTGGTTCGATCCATGTTGGCTTGAATGATGTGAATTCTGAACACAGGCATATCTGCCTCTATATTCATATCTTAGTCCATACTTGTTAAATTTTGATATATATAACAGTGTTCGAGTTTGTTCATGTCGACAAGCGTAAAATTTGAACAGATTGTAACGATAAACCACAGTATCAAGTTTTTATTGGTTTTCAAAAAGATCTAGAGTTCCTCCCCTATTTGTTCTCGCCATGTGCCCATTCTTGCCGGAACACCGGTTCGTGAAAAAAATTGGTTGCAGAAACAAACACATCTTCTGTAGTTTGCATTGAAAGAAAACAAACATGTGCGCTCGTGCGATATACACATACCGTTCGAATGGAAACATGGCTAGAATAAGTTCGCATCCAGTAATGATTGTATATATATATATGCGACATATTTTAGATCAAGACATCTCGATCTTCTCTTCGTTCGGTCGTACTTTTACAATAGTGTAATTACCTAAGTCGATTGTTCCACAAACACAGCTGTTGCTAAAAAGTATGTTGTGATTAATGATATGTACCGCTTTAACCATGTGGGCGAATTTCAAAACAATCTTAAAATTCTGTTTTATATTTCACTATGATAAAAGTGTACGCGATCAATTTTTCTATTTCACACTTAAATGAGGACAGTTCATGCACTAACAAAGAAGAGACAAGATCACAAGGCATTGTGTTGTACTGTAACACTTTCTGATTGTTCTATATCTGGTAGTAGAGTGAGAACGTCCTCCTCCCTTGGCTTTGCCCCAACGACAAACTGTCTGTAATCGCTGCCCAGCTCTACACAGCACACGCGGAGTTCCCCACAGCAGAGGTTACACACCTCTACCATGGTATCCGGGGCTAGTCTTCGCCAAGTCCGACAAAAACAACCGGGACAACATTTACGAAAACTGACAGCTAGAAGTATGAAAAACGATGTAGCCCCAATAAAAATCATCATCACCCCAGTAGTTGTTAAAGAATTATCTTTAACATTCGATTTCACGACAGTTTCTGAAGGCTGATCGTCGTCCAGTAGAATAGAGTTGGTGACGATCATTGAGCGAAACGGATCATCCAAGAAATTTTTATGTATTGCTTCAGCTTCTTCGTGGTATATTTCTTTCGAAATTTTGTCTGCAACATCACTTCTTCCTATTTGACTTAGTCTTAACGCGAGAGTGTTGAATGTTTTACCTTTGCCTTCTGTGCTATCCCAACGAAGCAAAATGTTCAAACAAGTGTCGTCTGGGTTGCCAGCGCCGCTTACCGGATCCCACAACTGAAAGGTTTTCCTGTGCAATGCCTCAGACAACATTTTGCATTCGTTTGGCGACAACTCGTTAGCTATATATACCATTTCCTTCATATTCATGTCTATAGTTGGCGCGGCCAGATGAACAAACAACAGTATGCATGATACTGTAGTTTTCATGTTGAGTCGGAAGTGCGCCGTGCACTGATGGTGGTTTGACGTAATAACTACGTCATCAATATGGTGACGTAATAAACAATTATCCATCTTCGGACCGTAACGGTCACATGTCTTTTGAAGCGAGATGTGGCTGCTACTGGCATGATCAATATAATGATTAAAATAAAATGCCAGGACCTTATATATTTATGCGATAAGTTATAATCTCTTGGGGGACTTGTTTCATGCTTCGTACCAGGTCAGTGATATAAAAACTTACATCACTTTTATTAAGGTGTTTTGAGAAGATCGTAGCACGTTTCTTTCAGGGACATCTCATCATACTTTGTTCCATCTTATATGAAATTTATAATACCCGTTTTCTGTACTTATAAATGAGGTCAGAAATTCGGAACGAGCTTTATAAATAAATCACCAAATGCAAACTAATTAGAGACACTTTTTATCCCATAATTATTTATTCAAGTCCCGCAATTTAAATAATTAGATAAGGAACCATATGCTTAAGGATGTACTCCTGAGGTTTCAGTCACGTTCAAGTCTCGTTTTGATCTGGTGTAACGGGGTTTTGTAATATTTAACAAATTATGATAGGTTTAATAGCAAACACATATCTGAAAAACATGTCAAAAAAATAGATGTCTGTTGTGTGTAGAACATTTTTTACAAGAATTTGAAAAAAAGGACCAATTTGGCGGCCATTTTGAAAAAGTGTATTTATGTGAATTTCTTGCGCTTCACAAAGGGCAAAATTTCACCTTTTTTGACACTAGATTGATCACTTAAATTGTCATTGTGTCACCATTTTTAAATGTAGCAGGTTCAATTTTGCTGTACAACTTCATAATGTTCAATATGATTAAAATAATATGCAAAAAAGTGGAAAGTTATATATTATTGGTATTTTTTTTACATGTTAGGGTTACTGAAGCACTTTTGATATTTGACCCCGAAAAAGGTGAAAAATAACACAAATAATAATGGGACAAAAAAAGAAGCACACCGACCCCCCATTTTTGTGTCTGTTTTAGAAAGAAAAACACATTTTCTTTTGATTCATTGAATACTAAAAAAAGTTTAATACAGGATTTTTGTATATCAAGCGTTTAATCTGCAAAAAAAGGTGAAAAAATGTGCATTTTTTCATTAAAAAATAAGGGGTAGGGGTAACTAAAATCGCATTTCTGAGTAAAATGAATAAGATTAAGAGATTTTACTTCCATAATTTAAAAGAAAATAATAGTTTTATCAATTCTACAAACATTCATACATATCTGATAACACACTTGGAAGAAATTGTATGAATTTGTTCTGCAAATGGTCAAAACCCGAAAATTCACCTAAAATCCCCTTTAGTGTTGAATTGGTATCTTTGACCGATCATAGCGAAAAAACGAAAACACGGACATACAGGTTTTTTGCATTTTCTACTATGCGATTATTTAAGGCTTTTGTATAAAAGCCAGGTTTGAATGGAACAAATAATAACCCCCCTAATCAAGTACAAGCTTGATTAGTCATGTAAAGTGAGTACTACATAGCATACCCTTACTTATAAGTCCGAAGGAGATCGCTAGGTGTACTAGTGTAGAGTGTGTGACGATACCTATATATTTACATTTTTGAGATTACCAAAATGTGTATCTTGAGATGGCTAGAAATACAAGTCTAATTATCACGTGTACACTATATAGCTTTCTGATTGGGTAAGGGGAACTAGTTAGCGTCACTTAATTATGCAAGTGTATCTGATTGGCTAAGAGCTTGAGACCAGATTAATAGCGTCACTCGATCATTCAGCAGCAGTAGCGATAAGAACAACACAGTTTAGTCTCCCGATATTTTGTCAGAATTCTTTGGATCCTACGGACTTTAATTTAAACCAGGACATATATAACTACAAACATAATAACAAGGAAACATGTAGGCGTTAAATATAGTCGAGAACCAAAGGATATACGAGAGTTCGGATCGAAAACCAAAACATTCGCTGCGCGCCAAAAGTGATAATTGTTAACATGGCGAGCCGTAGGTCGAGAACCACAACCAGAACCGCCCCGTGGGATAATTCCAACCCAAACAACTGGACAATCATACAGTTAAGATCTGAGCTGGACAAGATCGGAATCCTCGCACCATCAACGGGAATTACGAAAGCCGCACTTAAAACTATGTATCTCGAAAATGTGGGAAGGCGGCGTGAAAGTGGGGTTGTACGAGGCCGCCCAGTTCGGGGACTAGTGAATTCGAACCAGGACGTGATAAGTTCAGACAATGACAATAGTGGCTTAACACCTATGCCCGTGTCGGACGTCAACACCCCGACAAGTGCTAGTACATCCGAAAATTGTA